ATCTCCCCATTGTGGGAGGGGCAGAGACACAACTACTGGGTGGAAAATCTCATTGTGGGAGGGGCAGAGACACAAACTACACAAATCTCCCCATTGTGGGAGGGGCAGAGACACAAACTACAGGTGGGAAATCTCCCCATTGTGGGAGGGGCAGAGACACAAACTACAGGTGGGAAATCTCCCCATTGTGGGAGGGGCAGAGACACAAACTACTGGTGGGAAATCTCCCCATTGTGGGAGGGGCAGAGACACAAACTACTGGTGGGAAATCTCCCCATTGTGGGAGGGCCAAAGACCCGAACTACTGCATTTTTTGTACCTAAAAAAGAATAATGAATTTAGAGTCAGCCCAGACTAATGAATTACTGAACACTTCACTCCGCCTTCCAGCAGAGGTGCTGATTGCCTTGGTTTGGGGCTAAGACAAGACTGGTGTCTCTGGGTCATGTTCCCAGATTACAGACTTTACTGCGCCGGTCACCTTTGACACAACTTAAGGTCTCCTCAAGTGTTGTAATTCATTTTCAAATATTTTAATTCATTTTGAAATCGTAGAGAACATCTTGTACATGATTATTGTGTGGAGCTCTCGTGATTGAACGCACGGAAATCCAATCGAGGTAATATGAGAATGTCACCGTATAGGAATAATGACAATGGTAATTATCATCCGAGATCTTTGTATCTTGGTCAATCAATGAAATCTTCTAACATTCAGTAATGACATTTACAGTCGGTTGGTAATTGGCTGCAAATTTGCTGTAACTTCTATGAATGTAGATTATATTGAAGGGTCAATGCCGAAGATGAAAGCTCTCCTTATAACAACTGATACATTGTTACAGAAGAGAATAAAGGTGAACGAGGAAAGAAGATGTAACAAAGGTGGTGATGGAAGGGAAAAAATATATTCATAATCCCATCTACATTTATATTTGTAGAGAAGAAAGAACAAGAAAAATTCCACCTTCCACCCCCAACACACGACTCCGACCCCTTCAACCTGCAACCCTGACTCCTCCAACCTAGGACCCTGATGTTGACCCCTCCAACCCAGTACCTCGATCCCTCCAACTGAAGACTCTTAACGTCAACCCCTCCAACTCAGGACCATAAAACCTCCAATTCAGGACCTTGACCCCTCCAACCCAATACCCCGATCCCTCCAACTGAAGACTCTAACGTCAACCCCTCCAACTCAGGACCCTAAAACCTCCAGTTCAGGACCCTGACATTGACCCCTTCAATCCAATACCCCGATCCCTCCAACTGAAGACTCTAACATCAACCCCTCCAACTCAGGACCCTAAAACCTCCAATTCAGGACCTTGACCCCTCCAACCCAATACCCCGATCCCTCCAACTGAAGACTCTAACATCAACCCCTCCAACTCAGGACCCTAAAACCTCCAATTCAGGACCCTGACATTGACCCCTTCAATCCAATACCCCGATCCCTCCAACTGAAGACTCTAACATCAACCCCTCCAACTCAGGACCCTAAAACCTCAAATGCAGGACCCTGACCTTGAATTTTCAAACTCAGGACCCCAATTCCTCCAACTCAAGACCCTGAGTTCGATTCCTCCAACCCCGGACACTGAATTCTCCAACTGAGGACCCTGACCTCAAAAAATCACAACAACCTGTGCAGCGCTATTGGTTGCACTATGAAGCCCTCATACTCCAATAGTGACCGTGACGGTGATCATATGTCACATAAAGTCCTTTTCATAACATCATTCTGTGCTTTTTCCACTTAATGCCGCCATCCGTGCTACATCCAGCATTGGTAAGTGACCACACCACCACCAGATGTCTGTTCTCCTTCTGTTTATGACCTCACAAGTTCTAATCGGTTCTGTAAGACCCCAAAACCTCCAACTCAGGACCCTGACCTCGACTTTTTCAACTCAGAACCCCAATTCCTCCAACTCAAGACCATGAGTTCGATTCCTCCAACCCGGGACAATCAATTCTCCAACTGAGGACTCTGACCTCAAAAAATCACAAAAACCTGTGTTGCACGATCAATCTCTCAAAGCATACTCCAATAGTGACGGTGATATGTCACATAAAGTCCTTTTTATAACATCATACTGTGCTTTTTCCACTTAATGCCTCCATCCGTGCTACAACCAGCATTAGTAAGTCACCACACCACCACCAGATGTCTGCTCACCTCTTGTTTATGACCTCACAAGTTTTGCTGGGTCATAAAACACTTTTTGTCCCCTCCATGGGCATCATGGATGTTGCTTGTAAAGGGCTCTGCTCACCTTCTCCGATATCACCACTGAGCTGAGGCTGATATCTGGTGGCTCAGGCATCAATCATACAGCCTTGAATGTGTAGCTGCTGCTTTTTATATCTCAACCTCTCCAACTCAGGACCTCGACTCCTCCAACTCAGGATCCTGATCTCGATCCCTCCAACCCAGGACCCTGATCTCTCCAACTCAAGACCCTTACCTTGACACCCTGAACCTTCCAACTCAGAACCCTGCACTTGTCCTGTCCAGCCCGGGATCCTGACCCCCTCCAACATTAAACCCTGACCTCCATTCCTCCAACCTAGGATCCTGACCTTCCAACTCCAACCCAGGACCCCAATCCCTCCAACTCTGGACCCTGACCTGAACCCCTACAACCCAGGACCCTGATCCCTTCAACTGAAGACCCTAACGTCAACCCCCTCCAACTCAGCATCCTGACCCCTCCAACTCAGGACCCTGACCTTGACCCTTAAAACCCCGGACCTTGACCCCTCCAACCAAGAACCCTAAAGCCTCGGACTCAGGACCCTGAATTCGACTTTTCCAACCAAGGATCTTGACCCCCTTTAACCCAGAACCCTGACCCCGATCCCTCCAACCCAGGACCCTGACCTTCTAACTCCAACCCAGGACCCCAATCCCTCCAACTCCAACTCAGAACCCAGATTTCTTCAATCCAAAACACTGACCCCTTGAACTCCAACCCAAGATCCCGACTCCTTTAACTCCAAACCATAACCTCAACCCCTCCATCCCAGGACCCCAGTCCCTCTAAACCAGAACCCAAACTGTCCCCAATCCTTGAAGGAAAATTCTGCGATAGGAAGATCCCCAAACCCTGGAAAGCCTCACTCATTATGGGTTGTCTTCCAAATCGATTAAAATATTACTGTACATATCTATGACGGGAAGGAATTAAAAGTAATTATTTAGCTGGCAACTCATCCAAGCCATTAAATAGCTGCAATTGCACGTTCTTATTTTTGTAATTTGAGCAGCTTCTTCACTTCCTTCATGTAATCAAATTAATGTTGAAGACGGATTCACGCTGTTATTCCCTCACTTTCTTAATTACATATATTACTTCGGTGTGATTGTAAAAATCGTGTTGGCAAAACGTAAGGCGAGCAGTTTTATATTTTACCTTTATGTTTGCATACAGCAGATGTACTGCTGGCTGTTCTTTGTGTCTGTACCAATAGGACGGATAGGCGTTGTCACATGGTATGTATGGAGACGTGCAGTATATGAACGCTACCGAAGAAAAGCCTACAAATCATCGAGAAATGGTCATTTGAAAACGTTAATCTGTTAGTAGGAAAGACAGATGATAGATAGATGCACTATATTGCCCCAAGTATTGGTCGCCGGCCTTTCCACACACATGACCTTTAATGGCCCCCCAGTCTTAGTCCGTAGGGTTCAATATTGAGTTGGCCCCGCCCTTTCCACGCACATGACCTTTAGTGGTCTCCCAGTCTTAGTCCGTAGGGTTCAATATTGAGTTGGACCCCGCCCTTTCTACGCACATGACCTCTAATAGCCCCCCAGTCTTAGTCCGTAGGGTTCAATATTGAGTTGGCCCCGCCCTTCCCACACACATGACCTTTAATGGCCCCCCAGTCTTAGTCCATAGGGTTCAATATTGAGTTGGCCCCACCCTTTGCAGCTATAACAGCTTCAACTCTTCTGGGAAGGCCGTCCACAAGGTTTAGGAGGGTGTCTATGGGAAGGTTGGACCATTCTTCCAGAAGCACATTTGTCAGGTCGGGCACTGATGTCGGGGGAGGAGGCCTGGCTCACAGTCTCCGCTCTAATTCATCCCAAAGGTGTTCTATGGGGTTGAGGTCAGGACTCTGTGCAGGACAGTCAAGTTCCTCCACCCCAAACTGGCTCCCCCATGTCTTTATGGACCTTGCTTTGTGCACTGGTGGGCAGTCGTGTTGGAACAGGAAGGGGCCATCCCCAAACTCTTCCCACAAAGTTGGGAGCATGAAACTGTCCAAAATGTTGCCTTAAGAGTTCTGTTCACTTGGAACTAGGGGGCCAAGCCCACCCCCTGAGGAACACCCCACACCATAATCCCCCTCCGCCAAACTTTACACTTGGCACAATGCAGTCAGGCAAGTACTGTTCTCCTGGCCACCGCCAAACCCAGACAAGTCCATCGGACTGCCAGACAGAGAAGTGTGATTGGTCACTCCAGAGAACACGTCTCCATGCTCTAGAGTCCGGTGGCGGCGTGCTTTACATTACGGCATCCGACGCTTTGCATTGCACTTGGTGATGGAAGGCTTGGATGCAGCTGCTCGGCCATGGAAACCCATTCCATGAAGCTCTCTACGCACTGTTGTTGGGCTCATCTGAAGGCCACAGCAAGTTTGGAGGTCTTTAGCTATTGACTCTGCAGACAGTTGGTGACTTCTGCGCACTGTGCGCTTCAGCATGCGCTGACCCCACCCTGTCATGTGACGTAGCCTACCACTTGGTGGCTGAGTGGCTGTTGTTTCCAGTTGCTTCCACTTTGTTATAATCCCACTAACAGTTGAGCGTGGAATATTTAGTAGCCAGGAAATGTCACGGATGGACTTATTGCCCAGGTGGCCACCTATCGCGGGACCACGCTTGGAGTCACTGAGCTCCTGAGAGCGACCCATTCTTTCACCAATGTTTGTAGAAGCCGTCTGCATGCCTAGGGGCGTGATTGTATACACCTGTGTCCATGGAGGGGATTGGAACACCTGAATCACATGATATGGAGGGGATTGGAACACCTGAATCACATGATATGGAGGGGATTGGAACACCTGAATCACATGATATGGAGGGGATTGGAACACCTGAATCACATGATTATGGAGGGGATTGGAACGCCTGAATCACATGATTGGGAGGGGATTGGAACGCCTGAATCACATGATAGGGAGGGGATTGGAACGCCTGAATCACATGATAGGGAGGGGATTGGAACACCTGAATCACATGATAGGGAGGGATTGGAACACCTGAATCACATGATAGGGAGGGGATTGGAACACCTGAATCACATGATTGGGAGGGGATTGAATACCTGAATCACATGATAGGGAGGGGATTGGAACACCTGAATCACATGATATGGAGGGGATTGGAACACCTGAATCACATGATATGGAGGGGATTGGAACACCTGAATGGAGGGATTGGAACACCTGAATCACATGATTGGGAGGGGATTGGAACACCTGAATCATGATTTGGAGGGCGGGGACAATACTTTTGGTAATATAGATAGACAGGTGTCACATAGTGGTCTGAAAGGTAAAGTGGCCCTGGCTTCAGAGGTATTATTTCATATTTAATATTCCAGGTATTTCTTCTCTCTCACAGAGATCAGAGTACTCCTCCTGGTGAAGCCTTCCAGATTTGAGACCCTTGATCTTGGCGCTCCTGGTGCCCTATCCCTGCATTCTTTTTATAGCCCTGATGAAGGGGGCAATTCTGGTCCTGAAACGTGTTGGCCGTTTCGTGTAAGGTTGCCAAGGAACTATTCAAGTATTTGGGACCAGGGACGGACTGACCATTCGAGAACTCGGACACTGCCCGAGGGCCAGGGGGCAGGAGGGGCCCCATGAAATTCCCCTGGTACCTTTTATAGGCTTTTTTGGGTGTGCTTTGAGTGTGGGCAAAGACACAGGGGCCCCATGATCCCCTATTGCCCGGGGGCCCCATGAGTTGTCAGTCCGCCCATGTTTTGGACACTAGATTTTGGTGCTCTTCATGCTTTGAGTTGCTTTCTTGATGCCCAGCGGAGGGGATCCTTGTATCGTGTGAGCAGCCGATCCGGAGTCGGTGACACCGTGGAAGAAGAGGATCTCTTAACAAATAATTTCCTGAAGGCCCAGCGCCGCTCGGATACGTCTTTTCGGAGTTCCTGGAATCGACTCCGGACTGATGGCGGTAACTCGCCCGTGCCGCGTTTACGCGCAGAACATATGTTGCCAGCCAGCGTGAAGGGAGATGGGGCGAATGGCGTGTTTTTTTTTTTTTTCCGTGTAATGAGTCTCCGCGGCGGGGACACCCTGCAGCTGCAAAGTGGCTTTAAGGTTTCAATTACATCTGGAGCTTAGCGGCGGCGGTGACCCAAGGCTGATGGATTTGCGGCGGGGTTATCTGTCAGGAGCGGCGGATTAATGTCATTCGCTGGAAGACACGCTCGGCTATTAGTCAGCGTTACCTGTACAGGTTCCTGATGTCTTCTGCCCGCTGCTGGGAAAACACATCTGTCTGCCGAGATGGCTATCTGTCTCCGTCTGTCTCTGCGGGCTCCGCTTCGCATTAAATCCAATCTTCTGCCTGTGACTCCGCACACCTTCCACCTCTTCTCATCCCACCTACTCCGCTCTTAAATGGATGGAGTGTCAGCGGCTGGGCAGAGCGGATTAGTGCACAGGTCCACTTTAACAAGCAGTTTCCCCCCGGGGGGCTCCGTCCTGACAGCTGGGGGGGTTTGCTTCGTAATAAATCTTTGTCATGGAGCAAAGTTCTTCTGTAGGATAAAGTCTTGTCTATTTTTGCAAGTATATCGCCATCCCCTCCCCCCTCTTATCTTCATTTTTTTTTATTTCAGGTACTTATATAGCGTCGTCAATTTACTCAGCGCTTTACATATATATTGTACATTCATATCAGTCCCCGCCCCCGAGGAGCGTACAATCTAAGGTCCCTAACTCACATTCATACATACACATACTAGGGACAATTTAGACAGGAGCCAATTCACCTACCAGCATGTCTTTGGTGTTCGGGAGCAGGGGCGGACTGACAACTCATGGGGCCCCCGGGCAATAGGGGATCATGGGGCTCCTGTGTCCTTGCCCACACTCAAAAAAGCCTATGAAAAGGGTACCAGGGGCATCTCATGGGGCCCCCTACTGACCCCGGGCCCTCGGGCAGTGCCCGAGTTTTCCAAGTGGTCAGTCCGTCCCTGTTCGGGAGGAAACCGGAGAACCCAGAGGAAACCCACGCAGGCACAGGAAGAACATGAACACTCCAGGCAGGTGGTGCTGTGGTTTTACATATATATTGTACATTCACATCAGTCCCCGCCCCTGAGGAGCGTACAATCTAAGGTCCCTAACTCACATTCATACATACACATACTAGGTCCAATTTAGCCAATTCACCTACCAGCATGTATTTGGAGTGTGGAAGGAAACCGGAATATCTGGAATAAACCCACGCAGGAACAGGGGAGAGCATGCAAACTCCAGGCAGGTGGTGCTGTGGTTTTACATATATATCGTACATTCACATCAGTCCCCACCCCCGAGGAGTGTACAATCTAAGGTCCCTAACTCACATTCATACATACACATACTAGGGCCAATTTAGACAGGAGCCAATTCACCTCCCAGCATGTCTTTGGAGTGTGGGAGGAAACCAGAGGACCCAGAGGAAACCCACGCAGGCACACGGAGAAATGCAAACTCCAGGCAGGTGGTGCTGTGGTTTTACATATATATTGTACATTCACATCAGTCCCCACCCCCGAGGAGCGTACAATCTAAGGTCCCTAACTCACATCCATACATACATATACTAGGGCCAATTTAGACAGGAGCCAATTCACCTCCCAGCATGTCTTTGGAGTGTGGGAGGAAATGGAGTACCTGGAAAAAACCCATGCAGGCACAAGGAGAACATGCAAACTCCAGGCAGGTGGTGCTGTGGTTGAGATTCAAACCAGCAACTCAAGTACTGCCAGGCGGAAGTGCTGCCCTCACTGTTTCATTTTTACTTTGAGCCCGGGTTCACATACATGCGGTGCGGTATATCGCATGTGATTCGCACAGGAACCGCATCGCATTCCTGTGCAGATCACATGCGAATTGTGTGCAGTGCGATCGGAGCCGTGCATTTTTGTATGGCTCTAATCGCACCGTACCCGCACCTTAAAGGTTCAGGACCATTTTTTTTGTTTTCTTTTTTCGGTCTGCACTGTAATCGGATTTCATGGGTATTCACACCCAGGAGCAGACTGACCATTGGACGCTCGGGCACTGCCCGAGGGCCCGGGGTCAGTAGGGGTCCCCATAAGATGCCCCGGTATCTTTCATAGGCTTTTTTGGGTGTGGTTTTAGTGTGGGTGAGGACACAGGGGCCCCACGATACCCTCATTTCCCTGGGGCCCCATGAGTTGTCAGTCTGCCCCCGTTCACACCTATGCGATCCGATTCTGCACATCGCACCGCGTTTTTGCGGACCGCTTTCGGGGTGTTGTTAACCCCGCAGCGGTTCGCATGAACTGAGTGCAATTCTGATGCGGTGCAAATTCCACACCGCATCAGTGAGAACCAGGGCTGAGAGTCATTCTGTGACCTTCAGCCCGGGTTCACACTGATGCGGTGCGGAATTGGACACGGTTTCAGTGCGAATTCTGCACCGCATCAGAATCATGCAAACCGCTGCGGGTGTGTATCGCACCGCAAAAACGTGCAGGACCATTTTTTAGTCCGCACTAGAATCGGATTGCATGGGTGTTCACACCTATACGATCCGATTCTGCACATTGTAACCGCGGTTTGTGGACCGATTTCGGGGTGTTGTTAACTTCGCATGCACACCCGCAGCGGTTCGCATGCACGGGGTGCAATTCTGATGATTCTGAAAACGCTGCGAATTCCCGACTGCATCAGTGTGAACCAGGGGCGGACTGACCATTTGGGAACTTGGGCACTACCCGAGGGATCTGGGTCAGTAGGGGGCCCCATGAGATGTCCCTGGTACCTTTCATAGGTTTTTTTGGGTGTGATTTGAGTGTGGGCGAGGACACAGGGGCCCCATGATCCTCTATTGCCCGGGGGCCCCATAAGTTGTCAGTCCGCCCTGGTGTGAACTCGGGCTTAAATAGAATTGCAAACAAGGTTTGGCTTTGATTATTGTGTACAATTGTGTTGCTAGCTGTGATTGATCACAGTGATCACATAGTATAGACAGGGCCAATCACAGCCTCCCTGTACCATTTGACTAGCAGTGGCCAATCACAGCTAATCAAAAGCAATACATACTGAATGAATCGGCTTTCATTCGTGTAAAAGTGCTTGCTTATAACAGTGAAATTCACTGGAATAAGCAATCATAATGTGTATAGAAAAAACAAAACAAAAAAACAAAAAAACCTGATCACTTCCCCAGAGTAGTAAGTAGTAGTAATGTTTCATTGGTAACATTGCTTGCTTAGTCACTGCATTTTCAATGGACAGGGACCAGGGGCGGACTGACCATTTGGAAAAAAAAAAACTGCCCGAGGGCCGGGGTCAGTTCCCCATGAGATGCCCCTGGTACCTTTTTTCATAGGCTTTTTTTGAGTTTGGGCAAGGACACAGGGGCCCCATGATCCCCTATTGTCCGGGGGCCCCATGAGTTGACAGTCCGCCAATGACAGTGACTGATTCTCCACCAGAGAATGTCTGGTGAAAGTCAGATTCCCTGCTTTATAAACAGACCCCTCAATGTTCAGTTGGCTGCTTTAAAGGGCCAGTAGACCCTCAGTTGATATTGGAGTTTTGGAGGGGGGTTGCTGGTGCTTTTCAGATCTCAGCCTCATATCTCTCATGGACTGGTAGTGAGATCCCATCTCCGTTCTCCTGCCATTTCAAGGGGTCTCTCAGCGTCAGATTTTTTTATTTAATCGATTCAGATAATTCAGCGATAGGAGCGAGACTCTGTGATGTAGAAAGGAGGAAGTGAAAGCCCAGGAGGGGGATCTCTGAATTGGCGTGGCTCAGTGGCTGATTCAGCTGGCCATGCTGGATCATTGTTGGAACCAGGCGCGGACTGACAACTCATGGGGGCCCCAGGCAATAAGGGATTATGGGGCCCCTGTGTCCTCACCCACACCCAGAAAAGGTACCAGGGGCATCTCATGGGGCCCCCTACTGACCCCGGGCCTCGGGCAATGCCAGAGTTCCCAAATGGTCAGTCCGCCCCTGGTTGGAACGCGGCTCTATGCTGTAATCCCGCCTTCAAGATTTCACCGTACGGACAAGTTGTCCCCCAGATGATGGATTCCACCCTGCGGGACGGTAATGAGTACTGAAGGATAAAAATGTGTTTGTTTTTTTTTTAAGGTAGAACACAACATCTGCTGTTTATGGTGCCATAATGATTGCCATCGTGTGATAGAACAGCGCGCGGGGCCCGGGAAGATGGGACCGCCGTATTGTTCCTGAAGGGGGTAGAGGAAACCTGCGAGAGGCAGATGGCGCGTCCTG